GGTCTATGAAGCTGTAAAGTCAGAGTGCCCCCTAGCACTCAAATCAACTATAACAATCACAAAAGCAAGGTTATGTTATTATTTGATGTAACATTATTTTATACTTAATGCTTTAAAATAATAATTTTCAATTATTAAACAATTACTTTGTTTAATATATAATTTCAAAAGCTCTATATGTTTTGTATTGAAAGAAAAAAAAAAAAAAGCACAATGTAAGCATTTTTACACTGTCGATTTTTTTATTTATAGTTTTTTTTTTATTATTGAATACAGTCACTGAAGGCAGTCGTGGCTTAATGGTTAGAGAGTCGGACTTGCAACTCAAAGGTCGCGGGATTGAGTCTCTATTGTAGGTGGGGGGAGTGAATGTACAGCGCTCTCTTCCATCCTCAATACCATGACTGAGTTGAGACCCTTGAGCAAGGCACCAAACCCCCAACTGCTCAAAAAATGGCTGCCCACTGCTCCGTGTGTGTGTTCATGGTGTGTGTGTGTGTGTGTGTGTGTGTGTGTGTTTGTTCACTACTCACTGCTGTGTGTGTGCACTTGGATGGGATAAATGCAGAGCACAAATTCCGAGTATGGGACACCATACACGTCACTTTCACTGAAAATGTCATATGGACAACAGTAATAGTTTACACAAAATGTTGATTCATATTTCACCTCTTTCAGGAATAATGTTTTCAATTGTAAATTCTCAAGAAAAAGTTTTTAAATCATCAGCCATACTTTTGGTTATAACTTATATAATGTATAATATTATAATTATTCTGTATGCTTTTTACACTTCTTAATGCAAACATAACCACCAAAATGTTAACATCTAACATTGTTAAAAAAATTTACAAATTAAATTTCAGTACATAAAAAATATATATTTTTAAAAATGATATAAAAATGATGTTTAAATCATTAGGAGTAATTTTATTGGCAAACTATTCAGATATACTCAAATTTGTTTAGGATACCAAAGTGAACCTGGTGTGTCATTGACCCATATGCAGGATTTGATACCCCTTCCCTGAGTCCTTTGAATTTTCTTTGCAGGCTAGTTTGCAGTAGTTTTTGATAAACACTGACTTAACTCTGAAAGTATTGCTTTGAGCCTGAGCTGGAGTGTTTTTGAAGGGGCGTTTATGTTATTCTCTTCCCTGAAACACTGTAGACTGCCATTGATTGCCAGATTTCTTTTCCATTTAAACAGAAGGAAATGAAGAAAACTTCCAGTGCTTTTTGGAATTTTACTTTGTAACCCAGCAGGCAGTGCAGACTGACTGCAAAAAAAAAGTTTCTTCACATCCAATGATACAGCATAGAGGATCCACCTAATTACCATAACTGCAGTGTTTGGAATGAAACAATGGAATCCAATCTTGTTGCTAAATTATGTAGGGTTAAAATAATCAATGTCTGGATCTCATTCAGTATATTTAGGGTTATGCATCCATAATTCCTTACACTAATCTTCTTCATTCATTTCCTCACTCTTCTCATTGTTTTCTTCACAAGTTTGCATACAATTTCCAGTCAGCATAAATTCTATTAACACTGACAACCAGTCAAAATACTGCTTACATGTGTAAAGTGTGGTTTGTGTTTGCATTTTCATAAGCATTATCCAGTCGGGTGTGCTGTTTCTCTCTTGGCACGCTATGACTGAAGTCTTTGTGGATATTTTGTGGTTAGCAGACTGCCATGGCAAAGTCATGCCAAGCCAATGGCACAGGACAGGCAAGCTGGAGGAGATGTTACAGAGCGGGTATGAGGGTCAATATTTCTGTTTCCTTACATTTCAGAGCTAATGCATGCAACCACGAATGCCATGCTGTTTATAAGTGATAAGTAAAGATAATAAGCCTTGTTTCATGGATCTATACTGCATATGTTTAAAGCTTTGATGAAGCCTGTTGATTAACTCAAGTCTTAATGATTGGTTATGATCAGTTATTTCCTTTCGAAATCATCTGCCTCTGAATATGATTCATATATTGGCTGCAAAACCACATGCTATTCTCTAAACTGATTCCTAGAGGGCACTATATCTCAAACTATCTGCACTACTATGTGAGTTCTGATCAAATAAAGTTATTATAATGGTTTGACTAATTCCAAAATAAGCTTTAGGTTTACTAGCGTGTACTTTGGAATGTTCATTTACTATCTGCTGAATTATTGCTACTAGAATAATAGTAAATTCATCAAAACTATGAAATAACACAAACGAATGCATTTTTATGTCCCAGGGTAGATTTGTATTGAAAGTAACAGATTTCAGCTTCTTCTTTGTTGTATGACTTTAAAAATGAAAAGATCACATTAAAACTGTCATAATTTATCTTTGCAAAAAACACTATACTATACATAATACAAAAATAGCATTGTATAGATTATTACATTTTTAGATGATAAACTATGATAAACTAAACCAAGAAAATATAATACGTTTTACATGAATAAGCATTCTTTGTTGTTTAAAACTGATACATTTTTACACTAATTACATGGTGTAAGTTCCATTACAACGAACAAATTTGACCCTAACAAAGTTCTGTTCTTGATTACATAAAGACAGCAGTGTGAGTGAAGAACATGCTTGAGATCAAATATGAGATGTGAAAAAACAAAGACAAATAATGGTAAAATATAATTTGTGATCAGAATATTTTATAGTGTGCTACTACTATCCAGCTGTATTTTTTGTGCGTGTCAGATTATGCTGAATTGTGTGGAAATATTTTCAATTTGCTTGTATTTAGAATTTAAAATTTAAAAAGCTAGCAATGCTAGAAAATTCATTTAAAACCTGTATGCATTACTTCTTTTCTTTTCTTTTAACATGAGGCAATTTCTTCCATTGCATGGACACAAAAAAACATCTAAATACCTCTCTATATCTAAATATTTATTATGTTCTATCATCTTTATTTTGAGCTGTATTTTTTGTGCGTGTCAGATTATGCTGAATTGTGTGGAAATATTTTCAATTTGCTTGTATTTAGAATTTAAAATTTAAAAAGCTAGCAATGCTAGAAAATTCATTTAAAACCTGTATGCATTACTTCTTTTCTTTTCTTTTAACATGAGGCAATTTCTTCCATTGCATGGACACAAAAAAAACATCTAAATACCTCTCTATATCTAAATATTTATTATGTTCTGTCATCTTTATTTTCTGCAGAAGAAAAAAAGTCATACAGTTTTGGAACGAGGGTGAGCAAATGATGACAGAGTTCAGGGGCTTACAGCTGTATATATTAGAATCATAGAATCATTTAGAATAAGACATCTATAGAATGGTCTTAATTCCAGCAGAATAACTTGCTCTTCTTGATCACTAATAGCTTCAGTCTTCATTTATCACTCAAGATAATGTAAGAAAGCATGTTTCGCAGGTTGGCTGACCTCTGTGTGCTGAAACACAAATCACATATCATTCTAAAGTTCAAAGAGGCTAAGTCACGGCTTGAGAGAGATCAGCAGGAGTGGGGAAAGGGGTGGCAGGAATTTTAAATGTTTCCTGATGCTGAGTTCACCTCCCTCTGAGATCAGACCCTGTGCATTCTGGAGACAGTCAGGCTATTTTCAGCTACAGTACGGAAAATATGTTACAGGACTAAAGTGATCCAGTCATCTATGCATCCAAATAGTGTTCAGAATGAAGAGGTACTGGGGGGTTGAGGAATTCTTATGCTGTTTTAATGTATATAACCTGTCACAATCAATGCCAAAATGTCTAGCTAAAGTTGTTTTATATGTCATCAGGTGTGTTTAGTTATTATATCAGCTAGTTAAGCAATTTACAGAATTAGACTGACATAAACTTAAAAAGACACACTTTAGCATACTTTAAATTAAAAGAGCACTTGTCAGAGAAATATGCTATAGTCATGTAATGTTTTGGGGCATGTAATTGCATGTTAATTGCAATTAAATTAAATGAAAATATATTAGTAATATATGGTTCAAATTTAGATTAAATGCAATTAGTTGAACTTTGGATTGCTTTTTTTACCTACTTATGTAATACTTAAGAACATCTTCATATATAATGTTTAACTACTTGTATAGTCTTTGAAATATAGTTATAAATAAATAAAATAATCTTTAATTCAAACTTGTATATCATATATATAAATATATGTAATTACACATTTGTAATGAAGATTGCAATTTATTAATATTAAATCAAATTAAGTTATGGCTGATTACTTAAGTAACTTTCAAAACTGTTTTTGGAAGGTTGACAAAATTTTGTAAAATGTTGTGACTGATTGGTACATTAAAGCAAACCAGCTACACAAAGTAGCCAAAACATGCACAATTCCCACTTATACCCATCCACACACAGTAAATAAAAATGGAGGCTCACTCAAGACCTGTGGTTGTGATTCAGACCTGGAGCTGTCAGAACATGAAGCTGTCTGGCTTTGTGTCTTGTGTCGAGTCCAAAGCCCAGCACCTCTAGCGTGCCACAGACCTACTAACCAAAAACCAACTGGCTGCAACCAGCCATCAAAGACCACAAAGAGAGGCCTCTCAGGAGATGGAGGACCTGACATTCCTCAGGATGAGTGCCTGGAGATATGATACTCAAAAAAGATATGAAACACACAAGAGATCGAATGGCAGACTGTTTAATATTGGCCACTGCTGTCAGGTAAATGACTTGAGTCAGTCAGTCTGCATCTAGAAAATCTGTTGAATATGTATGGAAGAGTCTGTAGAGTTGTATACAGCTCCCTCGTGCACTGTTGATAGTTTGGTCAGTCTCGCAGTAAGGGCTGCATTCTGCTTAATGAGAAAAGCTTGATGTATGCAGAAGCAAATGTCCCTAACATGTTCCACAGCTGGGAGTGATCGAGACCAGTCACTCAACGCTGGTGAAAAATGGACTTGGGATGGAGAAAGGCAAGTCTTCTGTAATTGGACAGGGTTTGAGAGGGGGCTTCGGAGGGTGGAGGCAAAAAAAAGCTTGTAGGGGAGAAGGGGTATTTGCATTCTTTGCCAAAGCCACTTCATATTGCTACAAGGACTCGCAGTGAGACAGAGAAGGCAGTGCCTTTGTTGATCAGGTAGGTGTGATGCTCAGATTTTCTACTGTCAACATGTTAGTGGAAGGTTTATTATATTTTGGTCTTATTTTGCATCTCTGCATCAATGGAGACTTGTTGAAAATTTCCTCTTTGGAATTGGTAACGAAGTGGAACAAGCTCACAGCTTGAATACAAGTTGTGTTGCTATGTTGTTGCGATTTGGTCTTGAACGTATTCTTTGCAGGAATATAGTTAAATGTTTGTTGTCCTTATGGTTTTCATTCCCCCCTTTTCAAACAGTTGTTACTGAATGTATTGTATATATGAATAAATTAAATGCCTAGGTTTCCTACCTGACACATATGTACTCTGGATCAGTTCATTTTTATACTGTAGCTTTATTATTAAGTTTTATCATGCATAAGTAACTATTTTTGTCTGATCTGCAATAATTTCAGTATTTTCTTTTTTATCTAGACCTTTCCCTGCTGCAAAACAGTTTTGAAGCAATCAAAACTGACTTCGGTTCTCTAGCCTGATCTGATTTGCTAGTTTTAGATGGATTTTGGGCATCTGGAAGGCCAGCTAGCCACCCGCTTGAAAAATCTGCTTAAACAAAGATGGTTTGTCTTGGCTATTTTACCAATAGCCTGGTGATGGTGTATTTGCTGGTTTAGCTGGCCTTACAATGACTAAAACTTTTAAAACCAGACAGACTTTACTTGAAGGGCAGCTATAGCAAGAAAAATAGCTTAGGCTGTTTTATTTTCAGCAGGGCATCCAGTTTAACCAGCTAGCCATCAGCTTATATGGGCTGGGCTGGGTGGGCAGCTAGCCCAGCTTAAACCAGATAAGATCAGCAATCCTTCTAAGGCTGTTTTTTGTCAGTAATTAAGCATTTTTAATGAATCCTACAAATATTAAAAGTGTTCTTTCTGTCTGCAGCTGTCAAGTCTCTTGCCAGTGACAATGCGGCTTATCACTTTCCTGCTGTTGGGGTTTCTAAAGTTCTTACTGGCTCAGGACAGTGATCCTTTCCAGTGGGTTTCTTCCCTGCACAGCTGTGGATACGCCTCTCTGCAGGCCGACAACACCGGAGGAGAATGTCCTGAGGAGTGTGACTGTCCTCCAACCTTCCCAATCGCCATGCACTGTGACAACCGCAACATGAAACAAATGCCTTACATCCCATCCCGGATGAAATATGTGTACCTGCAACACAATCAGATCACCTCTGTTCCAGATAATGCTTTTGGAAATGCCAGCAACCTTGTGTGGGTTATGTTGCATGAGAATCATATTAACTCAGTGGGCAAGCAAGCGTTTGCTAAACTGGTGAACTTGGATCGCCTGTACCTGAACAACAACAACCTAACCGAAGTGCCGTCCAACCTGCCTCGCTCACTACGTGACCTTCGTGTCAATCACAATACAATCGCCAAGTTGCCCCCTAACGCTTTTGAGGGCATGGAGAATTTGACCATACTTTTGCTCCATAACAACGATCTCCAGGATATTGGTGGTGGCCTGAAAGGTCTGAAGTCGTTAACTCTGCTGGATGTGAGCAGTAACCAGCTCAAGAAGGTTCCTAATGGTCTCCCTGAGATGCTTCACCAGCTCTACCTCGAGTCCAACTCCATCGAAGCAGTTCCAGAGAACTTCCTCAGCCAGTTCACCAACCTACAGTATATCCGAATTTCTCACAATGATCTCACAAACAAAGGTATCCCTCAAAACACTTTTAACAACAGCGGTCTGGTGGAGCTGGATTTGTCCTTCAACAAGTTGGAGAGCATTCCTGTTGTTAGTACTAATCTGCAACATCTTTATCTACAGGCCAATCAGATCAAAGGTATAGCACTTCTACATATTTTTTAACACTTGAATACAAGTTCACCTTTATTTATTTTTGTTAATTTACTTAAGTATTTATATTATTATTAAGTATATTATTTGTTATAATTATGTTTATAAAATTATTAAATAAGTAAAAATAAATATGTAAACATCATTTTTATTAATGAAATTTTTTATAATAAAAAATTAAAAATGGAAAGTTATATAACTAAGTAATACAAAAGCAATATAAAGATATAATTGGTGATATGAAAGTGGAAAACATTAGAATATCATTTCATATTAAGACTGAATTTAATATGAAATTGAATTAAGTTTAATTAGGTAATTCATTTTAAATGTTTATTTTCCTACCTTCCTAATATTTTTGTTTTTCATAGAAATTTGAGATTTATTTATTTATTTTTAAATAACATTTAGTGAGTTTTATAGTTACAAACAATATAAAAACAAAATAATAATGTAAGTGCATATTCTCTAGTATTTTGATATATTCTCTTATCACTCATTTTGTTTCTTGTGTAAATGTATCTTGTTTAAGGTTGTTGGATATTTTTAAGGCTAAACTTTGATTAAAAAAAAAAAAAGTTTAAGAAAATAATTTCTTCCAGTGTAGTTTATGCTGGGTACACACTAAAATATTAAAATCTTATAAGATCTTCAAAATGTGAGAGACCACAGACATGAGGACAAAAAATCCTAGATTTAACCATTTTGCTCCTATAGTGTGGTGTGCCGCGATGTTCCCCCCACACATCAGGATTTCTGATCGTAAATATTCAACATGTTGAATATTTACGATTCCGTGATCGGGGCGCCTCTGACGTTCTTCCGAGCAGATTCAGTCACTCTTAACACACCTCACACCACTGGAAAATCTGATAAGATAATCTTTAGAACCACCAAGATAATCGGAACATTACCTAGGATTGTCGGAAGGGGAGAAATCGGCCCAAAATCAGCCAGATTAATGTGTGTAACCAGCATTAGTGAAACAGTCTTAACCATAGGTCTTCAACCCTGCTCCTGGGCCCACTGTCCTGCAAAGTTTATTTCCAACCTGCTTCAGCACACCTGACATGTGCCTTTTCAACTGATCTTGAAGTCCTTGATTAGCTGGTTCAGGTGTGTTTGATTAGGATTGGAGCTGAACTCTGCAGGACAGTGGGTCCCCAGGAGCAGGGTTGAAGACCTATGATCTTAACTATTCTCATCCAGTGATTGTTCCCATGTCAGACATGTTGAAATTGCATATAAAACTTGTTTTCCATTCTTTTCAGAGTTTACATTGGGCAGTTTCTGCAGTGTGGTGGATGTCATGAACTTCTCCAAGCTGAGAGTCTTGAGGCTGGAAGGAAATGAGATCAGTGCTGGAGACATGCCCTCTGAAGCTGCCCTATGCCTCCGTCTGGCTACTGATATTGCAGTGTAATGGCAGTGACCAATCAGCAGGGGGCTCTTTTGTTTTCCTCTAACATTATTATATCAGAGTGGCATGTCTTTGCATTGATGTACATTTTTATTGTAGGGAAATTTATAGTGCCTTGGGATTTTGTATGAGAGGAATATAATTTCCTGTGGACTTTAGAGAGAAGTACAAATACTGAAATGGGGGGAAAAGGAAATTGAGAGATTTAGATAGGAAATGGAGATCCTCTGTTAGGGTATGTGAAGCTTTTTTCTTTTTCTTTTTCAAAAGCCACATAGCCATTCTAATAATGACTTTCTGTGCTTTTACTCTGTGTTTGTGTGCTTGTCTGTTGGTTAGATGACACTGTTGGCAGCGCAAAAATCAGCATTGCAGTTTGCTGTTTGTGTGATGCACATTTGATTTACTTTAGGTTTGTGGATTCATGTCTCTTCAGGAACAAGGCTGTATTTATTCTACATGTGAGACAGAAGAGCTGAGAACAGAAAGATCTTACTTGACTACATCCATCTAACTTGTATAATGTATTATCCTATATAATATCAGAAGAACAGAAACATCTTACTTGACTACATCTAACTCATTTTATAATGTTATCTGATATGATGTAATCGTGAGAAAATTAAAGAAAAACATGTTAAAATCCATAATCTTCCATTCACATCTGAAAGGGGTGAAAGAAAAACTTTGAATTGTTGTGTTTTAAGAGCAATATATTGCATGTGATATAAAAAATGACCTTTCGTGTGGCTCTTTGTGTGTGTGTGTGTGTGTGTGTTATGTATTAAATGCTTTTATGTGAGTATAATACATATGCAAACAAATCATATTCTCTAGTTCTCTGTGACAACATTCATATCTTTAAATCTAAATTGGCTCTGGTTAATGCCAACATGGAAAAAATATATATTTCTATTATAGAAATCACAGAACACAAGCTGCTAATTTACTTTGTTACTGATATCATATAACACAATGTCTGAAGTTACCCTTAAGTCAACAATCAAGTTTTGACAGATATGTTTCTTAATCATACTTAATATCAAGTTATTGCTATTAAATCTTAATTAGATGTTGGCACGTCTATGCTGATAGAGTATTGATACACACAGAACATTTAGACAAATTGAGGACTGAATCAAGGAAGTAACCTTCAAAGAAAACTGAGAGTTGGGAGAATGTGGCTTTTTAATCAGATACATATTAAAGTAATTCAATTTGCAAGTCATGTGTTATTAGCCTGCAAGTCTTATTTTCACATTGCACAGATTTGAGAACATGTTTTTACCTTGATGCTGGGTTTTGTTTTTTGTTTTGTTTTATGAAAGCATCTTTTTTGAGAGTCACCATGTATTTGTGACAGCAGGACTATGACATGACTTCAGTAAGTGTGTAACAGGGAGTATTTCATCCCGCAACTGTTTGAATGTGGTGAATGCAGGTGACTCACTGTCATCAGTGTCTTCATTTGTAATATTTCTACTTTCTCAAAACTCAGGACACAAACAACACAAGATATATTAAGAGTATATATATTATATATTTTTTTAATCAAAGTCACCAGGACACTGTGCATTGGGAACTTGTCAGTAAGGTGCTGTTTCACTTTGACAACCAACTTGTTTGACTTGTTAGAGACAGAAAACTCAAAGAAATAACCTGAAATTTTCCTTGCATGGCTCCCTGAACAATTAAAATTATACCACCTCTGTCAAATTAACTATAAATACATCCTTATGACCACTTTTTGCCTCAAACAAACTTTTAATTTATTTGAACCCTTTCCAAGCAGACACAGCCTTTGAGGGGCTACTGCTTGTTTCCTTTACCTGTAATTACCTGATAAGCAGTTTAATGACAGTCAAAACAATTCTGGGCAATAACATCAGACTGCGGCAAACAACTCATGATCTATATCTCACAACTGGTTCATGTGTATCGGAAAACCATACTAAAATGTGGCGCTTAACACAATGACAGTGATTTATAAGGCTTAAATACAGGTGGTGAGATGTTTAAACCTGTAGAAAAGGGTGGGTGAGGGTGTTGAGTTAATAAGTTGACTGATTATTTTAGGGTCGTGCTCTTTTGTCAGGCTTGATTCAAAGATCTTATGTTTGCTCTCCAGCCCTCAGTGTCCAGTCATTGAGAGTCTGTGGAATGTCAATAACGGTTTGGAATCTGCACTTTAACAAAAAAAACTAAACAGGGAAGTGTCATGAGTCATTTAATTCCCGGGAATCATTTCATGTGTCTTGATGAATATTATTGATACATTTTCTTATAATACAGTTGATGATTGCCACACAATAAAAAGACAATGAAACATTCCCAAAGTTTTACTATTGTATTTTTCTATGGAACTGAACTATATAATAGCGTTCATTCTGTAAAACCACATCATAACCTGAACTTCATATAAAACATGTTTTATAATAATAAAGCCAGTTTTGTTCCACTGGATATTGCCTCGCTGACATTCCTTAAATAGCTCTGCCTCACCTAAATGTTTACTGATAAAATGTTATGGAAGTGATCTCGCTGAATAAATGAATAAGTCATACACATATCTGAAACTCATTTTTTTCTCGTTGAATCATGAACAAGTGACTTTCATGCTGTAATGACAGAATGACTGTGAAGCTCCCTCTTGAGAGAGAAAGTGTAGTTTATCAGTGGCCTTTGTTTGCAATGATTAGTAGTTTATTCACTTTGGAATTTCTCAGGTGACTGATACCTAGTGATTACTAAATTATCCCAGTTCTTTCTATTGTTAAAAAGCTGTACACACTGTGTAATATTATAGATATACCATATATTTAGACACAAAAACATCCTATTAAAAAATCAAGCTCAAATAAAAATATTGATTTGTAATTCATATTACTTCCAACATAGTAAATGTAAATGCAAACCGAGATTATAATTAGTATCTGTAATGTGTATGAAGACACCAAATGTGATGTTTTGTATTGTTGAAAGGGGGTGGGGAGGGGTGTTTGTGAACGACTATATAAGATATATATGACTATATAATGATGTATATAAGACTACCATGTACAGTTTTTCCTCAAGTTCACTCTGTCAGGTCAGGTGTATCCATCATTTCACCTGTCGCTCTTGAGACTGTGCTGAAGAATGAGGAAATACAGCTTGAACAACATTACAGGAGTACTATTCAAAAACTCCATTGCAGCGGAGCAGGTAACAAACAATTATGTTCACATCAGTTTTTTATTTCTTGCCACATTTTGATAATAAACAAAAAAAAGAAAGAAAGAAAGCAGGACCAACTGAAGACTTTTTTATGTGATGTGATTTGCAGTGAGTATTATTTGTTTATTTTTCTTTTTTTTGCAGGATAACCATGAATCTAACAAGCCAGATCCTTATGTTGGGCAGGAAGATGAGAACACTGAAAGGGGAAACTGGAGCAGCAAAAGAGAGTACGTGCTGTCTATAATCGGCTATGCAGTTGGTTTTGGAAATGTGTGGAGATTTCCCTACTTGGCTTGCAAACATGGGGGAGGTACAGTAAGATGACATTTAATATTATTTCTCACAATAATGTATGTTAAATTAATGTCTTATTCATACTTTTTTATATTCGTATAATAGAGGAGCAAGAATGTAAAAGTAGGCAAGAAAATGGGCAATGTATTTTACTTTTCCTTCATAACTCAATTACATTATTTTTTAAAGAAAATTTCTCTTTAAAAGTTATATTTCACTCTGTTTTGAATACTGCTTCTTTTTAACAATTTAAGGGGCCTTCCTCATCCCCTACACTATGATGCTGGCTGTTGCTGGCCTTCCTTTGTTCTTCATGGAGAGCTCCTTTGGACAGTTTTGCAGCCAAGGCCCCATCAATGTATGGAAATCTGTCTCTATACTGCAAGGTAACATTGAACATATTCAACCATAAAATTGGTCGATCTAAAAGTTACAGAGGAAATTCTTAAAAATACACTGTGGATTCACATTAAGGTCCACCAATGTGGTAAATGCCTCAAGGCTAATTCATAAATGTATTAAACCAACCTTGAGCCATGCTAAGGACAGATAGCCCTTTGACAGAGCTAACATGCAGACTGCATACTGAAATTTGCCCTCAGGACCTTTACATACATTTTTAATGGGGTTTGTGGGCACTAAAAAAACCCAACATGTGCAAATCAAGTTCACACTTATTTAAGCAAATTGATTCAAAAGTTTGGCTTTTATACTTTAAACATATATTTTTTTTAATGTGATTTTTTGTAGGTGTTGGCATCACAATGATGCTGGTTAGCACTTTTGTGGCAATCTACTATAATGTGATCATTGCATATAGTATCTACTACCTTTTTGCATCTTTTCAATATCCTCTCCCTTGGAGTGTCAAGGACTGCAACTCAACAGGTTTGTTATGTAGACCGTTTCTCTTTTAAAGAGGCCCATGTTTCAGTGTCAGACATTCCATGACTTTTTGCTCAGATAATGAAAGTATTAGGATTTTTCTAGATGAACTGGCTTGCAAGGGAAATTTGCCTTTCACACGTAAACCTGTAATAATAATAATAATATCTAATGGGAACTTCCTCACAGCTCTGTGCTTAAAATTATAAGAGTTTAAACTAGTTCTTTATAGATCAAACTATTGTTTTATATGTTCAAAGTACTTATTTATCAAGATACAGAATAATACTGCAGTGAATCATTGTTTAGACCTTATGTTGTATTTCAATAGCTTACAACATTACTGCTGCAACACTGAACGTGACTTCTGAGAATCAAACCTGCCAGAATGAATTTTCAGCAGGCCAGCGCCCCAGCGAGAAATACTGGGAGTAGGTTGACATTTGTTTTTGTACAGTACCTCCTTGTCAGTGTGACTTAACTTTGTTATAATTTAGAATATATTCAAAATTTTGGATTATTCATGATTAAATTAATGTTTTGGTCTGTGTCAGGTTTTGGGGTGGTTGGCATTAGACAGCATAAAAAATTTGTAGAGTGCATTTTCTTTCCTGTTCTGAAGTATTTCCTGTTGAAACAGGAAGCTTGGGTGGGATGCTGGGTTTGTCTCACCTTTTGATGTTTACACGGCTTTAGTTGTAAGATGGAAGCAGCGATCCAAGAAGTTTATTTTTTTTAACTTGACCAACACCACTCAATACATTTGTATGATTTAATTATTTTAACAATTTTATCATTTCGATTTTATAATTAGAATTTTATAATAATTTTCAAAAAATATACACTACTCTTCAAAAGTTTGGTCATCAAAGGTGACATTAAAGACTTTTATAGTACATTGTTAAGAACACAGTTTCAAATAAACACTGTTCTTGTGAACATTTTATTCATCAAAGAATCTTGAAAAAAGTATCACATTTCCATAAAAATAACTTCTTGTGCACCAAATCAGCACATTATGTTTTCTAAAGGATCATGTGAATCTGAAGACTGCAGTTCTTTAAAACAAATGTTGTGTGTGATTTCAATTTTTTTTTATTTTGTTATATTTCAATATTACTGTTTTTACTGTATTTGTGATCAAATGAATGC